ATTAGCTCGGCATCACCTTCCCTCCTTCTGTTCCTCGTCATCACTCCCGCTCACATTTCTTTTCCCTTTTCTCCAATAGCCTTCTTTGTCAGCACCCTGATGATTTCCCCCCTTTGTTGTGTAGTTGGACTCTATCCTACTCCTCAGTTTTAAATTCTCTGTTCCTCTTGGCAGTTCGGAAGGCAGAAGCTCTCAGTAGTTCTTCCTCAGCTGAGAACCCTCACTTTGCTTTCTCTGATCTATTTGTTAGCTTTCACTGATCACTGCCAATATCGTGCACATTTCTCTACGTAATCTCTTGACAATGCCTCTCTTAATTTCAGAATACAAGAATGTCCAGCTGTGGTTAACGCTACATAGTTTGACTGCAGGCTGTTTATGGTTCTCCATCATGTTTGTTTTCCATATTTAGACAGTCGGTCAGGATGGGATAATTTGATCTTGGGTCAGGCAGGGCCACGGGTCCAAATGGACCAGAATGAAAACAAGACATGTCTAGACCACAACTGTAAATGCTATTTAGTGCATATTTTTACACTAAAGCGTTTTATTTTGCAGCAAAAACTCGAGACCCAGTAAAACATTAACCTTTGTCCTTGGGTGAACTCTTTTATTTTTTAAAGGAAGGTAATTCTTAACTCTGTCAGAAGTGTCCTCTCAGCACCGAATAGGTATCAGTGTTTAAGCTACTGTGTCAGTGTATAAAGAAATCCCTGCAGGGTTATCTGATATGCTACAATGAGATCATGTGTGTCTCTGTTCTGGGTTGATTGGTCTCTGTGTATCAGACTAAATATGTGTGTGTGTGTTGAAGGATATTGACCCGTAGTCACCCAGATTATGATGTATGGTGAGTAATCCATTGTGTGTGAGCTCCAGGCCAGGATTTGTGGACATGTTTAAGATGGAGTCTTTAATTCAGGTTATGTGTAAATATGGAAAATATTAGACATGATTTTAGTATTGTGTCTAAGTGCCATGTCCTATCATTCCTGGACTTTATTTCATGTAAACACAGTTTTTCTAGAGCATAAACATTATTGACATATTACAGTAATGTCCCCAGATAACCTAACTGCCATCTTTCTTTTATTATTGTGAACCGGTTTGACCTCATTTGGAGGACTTTTTCCACGTCTTATTCGTATAGAAAAAGCAAGAACAGAAGTAAGATGTATTGTAATAATTTAATAATACGCAATACTATATCTTGATAGTTAATTTACCTCAATAGTGATAAATTCACAGGTTCTATCAGGAATCAAAGTGCCTGACTTGCCTGTCTTTGAAACAGGTGCTAACTGATGTTGTAACTGACTTGCAGTTGTTCACAGCCAAACAAAGGACAGATTTTATTTTTAAATACACCCTAAGCAGAAAGTACAAAGACAGTATTTAGTGCTGGGAGTGAGACTTTTGGGCTTAAAGTGGTCACTGACTGGTGTCAAGATTAGGTTTGAAAAGAGCCTTCCACAAACACCCAGTGTTGTCAGGGAAGGATTTGTAAAGGAAATTGTCTGGGTAATTAAGAAAAACAACAGTTGATGTAAGTGCTGTCCGTCTCAAACCAAGTTCAACATCTGTGCTCAAGCTTAACTCATAAAAAAACATCTTCACTATCAGGAAAGGGTGGGGTTTTTAACCCCAAGGCACAGGATCAGTAGACTACACCCATGTTAATATTTATAAGCTACAAGTTTTTGAGCAAAGAGCAGGTTTTAGTTGTTTTGGAGGTGTGTTATAACTTTTAAGCTTTTATAACTTTTATTTTTATTATACAATGGACAGTTGGTGCAATATAAACTTATACAGCTTCTCTGGCTCCTCCTACATTTTCACTGTGGCTTAGTGTAACATAGAGATGAGTATCTCATCTATTTGTCAATGACTTAGGGCTGGGCTTTCTGAACACTTGTTTTTTTTTGTGACCCTTTTTTGTTTTCTCAATCAGCTCAGCTGGTGCTGCAGTATAAGCAGTGTTGATTCAAAGCCTGTTAAGAGTTTAGACTCACCACTGTCTCCTATAACAAAGTTGGAGGAGCCGAGGGAGAATTCAAGGGAAGGGAAGATGGAAAGAAAAATAAACCGCTGTAATTGACGGATTTTCAAGTTTCCGGTGGTAACTGAACACACCTCGTGTGACAGCTGCAACTTGATGCATGATGACGTCTTAATCTGTGTAGAACTGGTGGTTTGCACCTGTTATCGAGCTACTCTGTTCCTCAGGCTAGCGTACAGCTAGCTAGTGAGTGTCAGTTGATAATTGTCTTGTGCTAAACAAATGTAATAATTATTGAATTGTCGATAAAAATAGGATTTTGTAGCATTGTCTGTGGGATTGCAAAGGGGGGGTCACCAGACCCAAAGCTAATGCTGTTGGGTTTGGGAGTTTGGGAACCCCTGTCCTACAACACATGGTGTATGTACTGTATGAGTGCATATAGTACACATACAGTACCATCCCCCCCCTCTGCATAGCTGCCTCTGCGTATGTGCTTGTACCCACATTAACTCGCACATCAGCGGTTTCAACTGCTGCTGAAGTGCAGTCACTGACGTAGGACAGAAATGAAGAGAAAGTAATTAATGCATGTAGTCACACAGTGGGGAGGTAAATTCTCCAGGAGACTGTTTTTTTTTTTTTAAATGTCATACTTTAGTAGATCACTGAGCGTAGCCATGGTGTCAGCAGTTCCTTCATGCTGCTCTCCACTGTAAATCAAAGACTGTCAGAGAATTTCTCCACTGAAGTGAGCCAGAACAGACAGGTTCCTCTTCTTTCTGACGATGACACATTTTCTCACTGAAGGCAGGGATTTGGTCTCTCGCAGACTCGACCGGCGCTTAAAATAACTCTTAAGTTTGATTTAACCCTTGAAAGGGTCACTGCTGCAGCTAATGAGATACACACTCACTCAGGACTGCAGGCCATCTGTTTTATGTCTGGCATAAAAAGGAGTTTTTTTTTTTTTCTTTTCTTCCTTCGGACCCTAAGACGTGATGTTTTTTACAGTTGTGTCAATCTAGATATAGATAGAGTTAGAGTTGTTGATTTACTAGGAACATTTTATGTAGAATTTTCTTATCAATCCGCCATGTTTATGTCTGAGTTATATGGTTTATAATGTAATCGTCATGAATTAATAAACACAAAAACAAGTTAATAAGTCAGTGTGCTCCAGACACTGTTGAGACTTGTGTTTATGTTGTGCTTGACTCTCGGCCAGTTCAAGAATTTATTGAATTGTGTTTTTGGCTCACTTTTAGCTACTCTTATAATTTATTGATGTTTCTGTGGTTACGTCTCTAGCTATATTTATGGTAATTCTTTTGTTATCTTTGTGCTTTACTTTTAGCCTTTTCTGGACTAGTTCTCAGCGATATTTGCTGTTCACCTCCAACTGATAAGAGGTTATCCACAGGACTAGTTCTCAGCGATATTTGCTGTTTACCTCCAACTGATAAGATGTTAACATCTTATCATCTTATCTTATCTTATCTTATCATGTTAACAGAGGGAAATACATTTAAATTTCATTATTATTTGGGCTACTTTTTTTTTTCTTCAACCAAACATGTGATTATATGCATTGGAAGATTATTTGTAACCCTGTTAAAATTGTCTTCATGACACTGGGACCTAATCAAATAACAAATGCTGCTCATGTGGATGAACAAACGGCTGCTTTGTGTTGGACCTACTGTGGTAAACATTTCATGTCAGGTGGATGGAGGCCTTTGTGGTTCAGAAAGGTGGCTGATTATGAACTCTCCATGTTTTAAAATGCAGAAGAGAAACCAAATGTAAGGTTTTTTTAAACTAACTTCTTCTTTTGGTTTTTAGTATTCTGCATGGTATAAAATAATAATGTCCTAGCCATCGTACTTAACAACCTTCACAGCATCGAGAGCAAGCACGAAGTCACTATCCTCAGCGGACTTAACGAATTTGTAGTCAAGTTTTTCGGACCACAAGGAAGTAAGTGTTTTCTACCTTCTCGACATATAAACATATAAAACATGTTTTCTGATTTTCTGCCCTTTTCTCCTGCGGGCTACATCTGTCCCAGATACTGTTGATCTTGGGTGTTAGTTAGCCAAGAAACGCATGTGTCCAGGCTTCACTGTCCATCTTTTCCTCCTTAAAAGCTTCAGTTCAACCCAGTAGCCCAGCATTTGAACTTGGCCTGAGGCAACTGCATGTGATGAGTGGAGCGAGGCTCGTAGGGGATTATGACAGGAGTGTACTCATCAGCAGGGAATAGCTGCTTTGCTTGCTGTTGGTAAATTCGGCCATCCAAAATAAAACAGCCACTTTAACACACAACTAAATAGAAGAAAGCAAGTCTGGGCCTGTTTATGACTCCTCAGCATTATGCTCAATATACATTCACTAGTGCCTCTGTGCTCACTTAGCAAGTGAGTGTCCCCCCCGTTACCACTACACGAGCTGCTCAGTTTTAACCAGGGGCCCGTGAGGGTCCTGTTACACACAGCTATTCTGGGAGAGAACCGCACACACCAACACAATCTCATTCTCCTCCTCTTTGATGTCAGTGTGATCTGTGATTTGATTTGATGACAAAATGTTTCTCCCAGGCACTCGGTAGAACACTTTGTGATATGAAACGAATATTTCAATTTCATGATTGGAAATAAAACGGTGAAGGGAAGTTCATCTCAGAGCCGTCTCCTGGCTGTCGGTTTGCAGCAGAGGAGGAAGGAATGCAGCAAATGGATATAATCTGTCAGTGTATATCTGCCAGAGTACATGAAGGATAGAGGATGAAGTACGGTGTACTGCAAGTGTCCTCAACAGCTCTCTCTCTCTTCTCTCAGCACCATACGAGGGAGGTGTGTGGAAGGTGCGAGTAGATCTTCCCGACAAATACCCATTTAAATCACCATCAATAGGTAAGAAGTCAGGTGTAGTCAGCAAGAAACACATTTGAAAACTATCTTCTTTTTTTTACACCACTAACATCGTGTGCTCTACTTTTCAGGATTCATGAACAAGATTTTTCATCCCAATATTGATGAAGCGTAAGTTGAACAACTACGTCTTATAAACCCTCAATAAATGTGACGCAATAAAAGCGGAAATAGGTCTCGCTTTCCTGTTACTATATGGTTATGACTATAAAAACTGATCTACCTCCGCGCCATGTTAAGCAAACAAGACAGGAGGTGTTAGGGTCGCAGACACAATTGTAATTACAGACACAGATACCTGATAAAGTCAAGTCTGTGACCATAAATTCGTAAATTCTTGTCCCCTGATTCAGGTTTTGATCCTGGTCGTACATCTGCAGCCACTTCCATATTCTTCTCACCTGCCATTTAACCCCTGTTTGACTCTTGTTGTCTTGTGGGTTTCCCAGGTCAGGGACAGTGTGCTTAGACGTCATCAACCAGACATGGACGGCCCTCTACGGTGAGTCATGCCCGCATCCGTACATGCTCACGTTGAGCTTCCTCACTGGTCTGTGTCTGATAACGTGTGAAGATGTCCATTCAACGCCATCGGCACCAGAGAAGTGACCGGCGTCTCGCCACTTAGAGTGACCATATTGAACACTGATGCAAAATTGGCCATAATCTACTTAGTAAGGAGGGAAGTGGAGGCTAATGAGGTAATGCCCTCATCCAGCGAGGTCAGAAAACAGTCACCTTTGACAGAAATGATTAACTGTCTGTCAGCTGGAGGAGACGAGGTTACGAACAGCCGACAGCAGCAGTTGTACTTCAGTTTCTCTCTCCTCGTTGGCTTTTCTCAGCATAACAGTGTTCTTTCTCTATGTCCTTGTGTCCTTCTCCTTGTACATTTCCCTCATTAATCCCCTGTTACAGCCACTTCACTGGCCTAACTTAGAGCGTATTCGTTCTAATATCTCTCATGGCCAGTGTTTTTACACCTTGTTGATACAACTTTATTTAAAAAAACAGCTTACAGGCTTAATTATCGAAATCAAAACATAATTGTCAAATAGATATTGTGGAGGCCAACGGTTTTACTGAAGATATGAATGGAGTATTTTGACTTCTGCACATCTTTCTTGAATATTAATAAGTCCATAATTTGAATGGGTTGTGAATAAAAACAGGTGCGAAACACAAACATATATTTGACTTTCTGCTTGAGCAATTTACAGAAAAAAAGTTAGTTTTATCATATTTGGAATTTGATTTATCTATTAATTGTGATTAACTGAGATAAAATCACAGCTACCATATGTCTGTCAGAAATGTATTTGTTGGGTCTTAGAAGAAAAATACAAATAAAAATGGATAAAGCAAAAAGTACAGGAACAGGGTTAAGTGATTAGGCTTTTGGTGCAAAGATACAATTAGTCAAATATGGCCATTCTGATGGTGTAACATTTACATGGAGCCAACACTGACCCCTAGGAGATGAACAAGGAATTTCAGATAGAAAAGTGAAAAAGCATCAGCGTGGTGGTGCCTTCCTGTACATTATACTTGTATATTCATGAGCAGCTGTTTGAAATGATCACTGACTGATGCATGTCATTTTGGTTTAGTAGCTGTGTTTGAGCTTGACAGTCATGTCGTCTGTTTCCCCTCAGATCTGACCAACATCTTTGAGTCGTTCCTGCCTCAGCTGCTGGCTTATCCCAACCCCATTGACCCCCTGAATGGAGATGCAGCTGCCATGTACCTTCACCGACCTGAGGAGTACAAGCAGAAAATCAAAGGTTCGGCATGAGAAATAATACAAATGAAACCACCATCAGTCACGTTTGTCTACACCCAAACAATCACACCATGTGTTAGAAGAGACTCAGAACCCAGTTCCTCCAGTTTGTTTTGCTTTTATTCAGCGCTGTTACACCTTCACAGATCACAGATATGTCTTTTCTCCCTCATATGTGTGAGGAGGTCGCTCGTGTTGCGTCACAGAAAAGGTCAGCGGGGTGAAACACCTGCTCATCTCTTGTCATTGTGGCCTGTGCCCCTGTCAGCTGCGCTCATACGGTCTCTCCAATTTCTCTGCTCTGTGAATTGCAACACAGCGACAATGCTACTAAAGTTGAAAACAGACTCACTTTTATTTCAAAATTGAAGTGATTAGTCAGTAGTTCAGTCCAGTCTTTTTGTATGAATTCCCATTTTCTCTCTGTGGGTTTCTCCAGTCCAGTACAGAAACATTCAGAAGTTCACTTAAAATGGACCAGAGATGGTTGTTTGTCTCTGCAATTCACTCTTGAACTCTCCGACCTTTGAACCTACCCTGACCTCCCCCAAAGACTACTAAGGTTGGGTAGTAATCGATAATCAGGAAACACTAAAACACACAGGGAATGGTGCAGTGGTTGTCACCGGGATCTGAGTAAAGAACTGCTGTCATTGTCCATCATTACCAAAGTTGTTTGTCTGTGGACAGGTCTGATATGGACCCTTATCTGTGGACACTTTTGTCTGACTCTAGAACTGTCGTCTCTTTTTTTCTGTGCACGTCTCTCTCCTCAGAGTACATCCAGAGATATGCAACAGAGGAGGCTCTGAAGGAGCAAGAAGAGGGAGCTGGCGACTCTTCATCCGAAAGCTCCATGTCTGATTTCTCAGAAGACGAGGCCCAGGACATGGAGTTGTAGTGATTGGAGGACCCTCCCCTCCCCCATCCCGTCCCCCCCCCTCCTTTAATCCCCCTCCCCTCCACTCCCACAAAGACTATATTTGATTTCCTAACCATGAGAAAGCAGACTTATATTATTCATATTTAAACAAGTTGATTTTTTTTTATTATTATTACTAAACAAGGATTTTTATGACTATCTAGCCTTTGGTGTTTGACAGACACCCCTTCCCATTCTGTAGCTGCCCCCCCCCCTCTCAATGACAAAGACTTGGAAATGATTTCACACTCTCTCTCTCTTTCTCCTGTTATCTGCACATTTTAAAGGTGTTAAGTTGAAGAAAAAAAAAAGTCAGGAAAGCTCCCCGTCCACGTCCCTATGCTCAAAATTTGTCTTTTTAAACCAACGTGACCTGAATCCTACAATGCTCAGTGACTCTGACCAACGTGTGTTTTGCTGCCTAGGGTGTCGTCAGTTCATGTTTACATCTCATCAATAACAACCCCACAGTCATGACAGTATTTTAAGACGCACAGTTGGGCCGTTAATTTTCATTTAATGTTTAAGGAAAACGCTTCAAAACAGGAAACGTTTAGCATTAAAATTTCATTCAGTTTAATCCTAGACTTTCTTTGAAAAAAGTAAAAGTATAATTTTGCTGTTGGCAAGTAAGGCAGACAACAGAGGATCCAACAGAATCTGGGGAAAAAATCCCAGCTGTGTTGTTGTTGTTGTTTTACTCTTTAAGCCCTAAAGCCCAGAGATAAGTGGGAGTCTCCACTGTGGAGTTGCACACCTGGTGTCCTGGTACACCATCCACCGAGAAACAAAAATGTGTAGTGCCAACAAAAACACTGATAGATCAACACTGAAGGGCTCTGCCCCCCGCATGTTTTCCATCCCTTTTGGCGACGAGACGATAAAATTCATGTCTTTGGATACTACCTCGGATCTTACCCAAGCTTGGTTACTAGTTACTTGTTGCTGATGTGGCTGCATTAAACAAAATGTTGCTTTTGGAGGTCAAATCCAGGAGAGGAATATAAACTAAACCTGATGATCTGACCTACAAAAAAAGTGCTTTTGGTGTCGATGGAAATAAACGCACACTGGCCGCACAAATGTGGGACGTTTATGAACAAAGGCAAAAAAAACAAACAAAGCAGCCGTCCCTCGTTGGTGCCTCTGGTCAGAGTCATTTGGTATTGAAGGAACTGAGGAGAACACAACTCTTTCTTTACCATTTACACAGAAATGAGATTGAGATCATTTTTAAGGATCCCACTCTCTGGCTGCTTTTTAGTCGTATTGCTCAACTTCAGTCGTTTAAAAAAAAAAAAAGTGACAAATGTTGGCAAGGTTACTGAGTTCCCATGAAGATTCAGGTCTGTGTGAGATCAGTCCTCCTCACATTCCACTGTTACCTGGAGTTTGCTGCAACGCATGCCCTTGACACTGTTCTGACCTGTGGTATAAACCTGGACTGCAGTCAACACAGGCTCCTGTACTTTACATCCTCCTCCACCTTCGTTTGGATCACTCTTTTGGCCAAAATGATCATTTATGTTACATTCTGCTGCAGGATTTTTTACTTTTTTTGTTAATCTCATATGTACAGATTTGGCTCAGATTGGACTAATCAAATGTGACAGGTAAAGATGGTAGAGATTATTCTCACAGATTTGAATTTTGACAGTTGATTTTTTTCCCCCCACCATTGTCAACAGATTTTTTTGACTCTGTACCCTGACAAATGCTCAGCTTTGAACCCTGTACACTGACAGTGAATGCTAACATGACATTCGTACTACCTAGAATACCTTGCAAAGTATGAGTTTCAAAGAAGTGCAGTAAGAATTTTAGTTTTCTCTGAAATACTCCCATCTCTCCAGCAGGGGGTGGGAGATTTGAGTAAAGCTCTCAAGGTCGGTCAAGCTCTGACCTTTTCCTGTGCCTCATCATAGAAATAAGGTGACCTGGTTAAGGTAGAATATGCAGGAATTTTTGCAGAGAGTGTGTCCTACTTTAGATGGCGCTATAAACACAGTTTGGACACTGCAGGTGGTACAAATTTGTTGTTTTAAAAAAAGCTAGCAGTGAAACTTGGGCTCTTTTTTCAACTGAACTTCGAATACATTACTTTTGAAAATTTAGATTCTCTGCTTGCAAGGATAATTTGCCTGATAATTTTAACTGCTAAGCAACTCGGCAAAATTTCTTTTAATTTAGCTTTGTCATCAAACATCTCTAATATTTTAAATTTCAAAACTCAAAAAATGTTTTATTCTGGAATGTGCAACTTAGAATCATCAGTTTCCTCCAAAATAGAATTGATAGCTATACATTATTTTCAGTTCTATTTTGACATCTCCACAGAGCAGGAAAGGAAAAGTCCTGCAAAGTCTACCTTCAGCAAATTATCCAGAAGTCCATGGAGGTAAAAAGCACACTGATTTCAGCCCATCTCTCTCTTTCTCTCTCTCGTCTCCTTTGGTAACCAGTTCTATCTTTGTAATATTCAGTCTATGGCAGAAAACTGGGAATTCACCCGCATTTAAAAAAAACAAAACAGCCGGGTGAGTTTGACCTGATGTAGGAATGATGGACATTTACAGCTCTGGTTGGTCGTATCTTCAAACCCACAGGATGGAGATCACACTTTGTTTTTGTCGAATGTGTTTTCAGGATAGCTTTTCTGGGTGGTGACTTCAACTGAACAACATTTGTTGTATAACTTTGTTACAGATAGACTTAGGCTAGTCTCTTGGCGTTACTTTACCAGCTAAAGCAACGCGTTGCTCAGCAGACCTTTAGTTAGTGTCCGTGTTGTCGTATGTACGATGCTCCGTAGATGTGCCTGCTCGCCCCCCTCCTTGCAGATGATGCAGTGATGACTTACTTGGATGACCTTTCACCCATAGTGACCCCGGCGGATCTAGCTGTACAGAAATGAGAACTATTGTTTTAGCTTTCAGGAGATGTCAAAATCAGTCTCTTCACATTGAAACAGAAAACAACACTGCGCCCCCTTCTGTTTTGTCACCTTGTCACATTGAAATTAACACTGCGCCCCCTTCTGTTTTGTCACCACATTGAAATTATTTTTTTTTGTTTCCTTCCTAAGTTTGTTGTCAATCATCTCTGGGAGGATTTTGGACATTAGCATCTGTCAAAACCCAGCAAATAATTTTTAACCCTCGCAACATGTTCCAGGCAGTTAGAAAGTTCCACCACATATTTGAGAGTGATTTATTGAGTGATCGGTTTGTAAAACCCATCCAATCGAATCAGTCACACCTTTTAAAGCTGTATGCCGTTTGCTTTCTTTATTGGCTTGAATATCTCTCAAAGCTGCCTAGAAACATGTATGTAATCACTTTTTTGGGGGGTTTTAACTTGACTAATAAAATACCACCTGTGTACGTATGACACGATTCAGCTCACACCTTTGAAAACTCTAAGAAAAAAAAAATAGGATTTTTCTTCTGTTAAATCCTTGTTTGTTTTACTTTACATACGCGCAGTATTGTATTTGAGTGAAAAACAGTATATCAGTAGTTGAGAATTGTAATAAAATAGCACATTATTATCCTGTGGTGCAACAGGTAACTCACAATACTTTGCTTTGTTTTTTAAGAAAAAAAAACATTATTGTTGTGTTTGGGTTCAATTTCTTTTTCTTTCTTTTTTTGCATTTGCTGGGTAATAAATTTGTGACACACTCAGCTGTGGTTTGGTGTTGCTCTCACAAACAGGACAAAACTGTTTCAATACTTCAAACATTGGTATGAGGAGGAACTCATGAGCTGTAGCACAAACAGATGTACAAGAACGTGTTTTCCTAACTTCCCACAGGTTTAAACTCTACAGAATAGGTGGGGACTTCGGTTTTAAACTACAAACTTTGCTGTAAAAAGTTCAGTTCACGGTCTTGTCCTCAACTCACGCACACTGCTCTTGGATACAATACAAGAACAAAAACACCTGCTCTACATGAATGGACTACAAAGACAGGACTTCCAGGGCCGCTTTTTCCCCCTCCATTTTTTCCCCTCAGCACAGCTGCAAACAGCCACTCTGATCCTGTAAAATCACTTCCTTCATTTGTTGACTCTGTCTTCTCGTGCACTTCTGCATGCTTCTGGTGTGGAGTCGAGGCTCAATCGGTGCACATTTCCCATTTTTGTCTTGTGCTTGTGCGGATCTGTGCCCTGCACTGGCCTTGTGCTGCCATCAGGGGGAGTAGGCTGACACGCATAGCATGGAAAGATGCTGACTTTTTTTAATTAATAATTTTAAAAAAGAAAATAAAATAAATTGTATTTGTTACCTTGTGTGTGATAATTGAGGATTTAAAAAGTCAAAGGTTTATTTTTCTCTTATGTTTTAAAGTCAATCCTTGGTCTTATATTTTCATCAGCCTCTCTGCCCTTCTGTTTGTTTTTTTTCTTTGCATTGTGAGGTGGGCATGCTTGTCACAAAGACAAATGCTCTCTATTAATAGGCATATAACCTCATAAATAGTTGTGTATAAAATAAACTGTTATAACGTTTTTTAAATAAAACATTCAATGTGTACAAAAGCCCTCGGTTTGATGCTGTTTCATACTCTGTCACATTCTTTGACAATTTTAGATCTTCCAGATCCAATTGTTTCATATTTATTCCGACTTCATTCATTTTGATTTCATGACTGAAAAATAAGTATCTTTATTTTTAATCTCATTGTTTTTTAGGCCGAGTTGCTACACGTCATCCCGAGAATGGAGACCATTTTTTGTCTGCTGTTACAGTACAAGAATTCTGTTTGTACGAATTGGAATCAGATCCCGTGTCTACCACTAGAGGGAGCCCAAGTAGCACCAGTGGTCCTTGACAACAAACTGGCTTTAAACACAATGCTACATTCTTGGTAAATATAACCGAGGTGGATCGTTTTTCCTCCTGAAGTGGGCGCCAGTTTGTAAAACTGCCCAACTCACGATGTGTTGTGACGAAATAAAATTATCTTAATTGACACTTTTGACATAGAATAGCCAATTAAAATACAAAAGCAGGATCACGTGATCGGTTCAGCTCAGGACGTTGGCGATTTTATCAGCGGTTGCCTGCACTACGAAGAACTGATTTAGGTGAAAAGCTATATATGATGTTATTAGATTAGGCCTCTGGTGTTTTTAGGGCGTATTTAGAGAACGCTAGGAATAAAAAGTGTTTGGTTTTGACAAAAAAAAATCCCTATGTTTCGTTCAAGTTCTTGGTTATTAACTCTTCTTTGGTGTTTTTCTCTCTCCACCAGATCTGCAGACTCCGGTCTGTGTGACAACAACCTTGCTCTGAGGACACGTTTGATTGATGCAGTTCCACACGGTATCCAGAAGAGGGCAGTGCCTCAGCTGAAACGCCTCCGTTTGAAATGACAGCAGGGTAAAACAAATGCTCGGACATAAGGTCCTTTAATCCCCTGTCTTCTTTGGAAAAATGTATTCTGTCACGCACCAGTCAGGTCTCCTTTAGACTGTTGACACACGACGTCAGTCTCCAGACGAAATGTGAGACGACGTCACATAAATAAACGTGATATTTAGGTGAGTGATGACAGTGCATTTCCTGCATTAGCACTGGTTTAAAAACATATTCCTTCACAGTTGACTTGATAATAATTCCGTAATACTCGGTCTCCTGTTAGCGTCTAATTTCTATTTTTATTACTTACGTGTGTAACATACTTATGTTGAAACAATATTTTTAAGCAATTTTATCAATTTTCACAACAATTGTGTTTTGCTTTTGTCACTGCTTTTTGGTAACCTGGTTGGATTGTTACCTAATTGATCAATGTATACGTTTAAGCTAAAATTCTCTTTGACTTTAGCTTGACTTTAGCTTCCTTAGCTATCATGTAGATCTTTTCCCGTCTAACTTGTACGTCACTGGTCCTCTTTGAATAATCTCTTACTGTAAAATTGTCTATTTGGCTATTCTTTAGCAACTGTTACTCTATTTTGCTACGTGATTAATAAGGTTAGCCTAGCCTCTTTTTTTTTTAAGCATGTGCCATAGTTGTGCCATAGTTTTCTTCAATTTAAACCTATTTTGTGTTTTTTTTTAGTTTTCTTTAAGCTACTTTTGAACATGTTCAGCTTCATCCTCTTCTTCTTCTTCTTTTCTTAGTCGCTGAAAATTATTAGATTACAGCTTTACTAGCTTCTTCTTTTGTCTTCTCCCTTTCAGGGGTTGCCAGAGCGGATCGTCTGCCTCCGTCTCACCCTATCCCCTGCCTCTTCTACTGTTACATCAACCATCTCCAGGTCCTCTTTCACTACATAAACCTTCTTTAAGTTCTTCTTTTTTTTTTCTGGTGCCTGACTGCTCCTTTCCAGAACCTCTTTGGTCCAATGTCTCCACTCTGTCTCCCTGGTATTCAAACTATCTCAACGTCACCTCTTTAACTCTGTGTCCAAACTGCTCCACCTTATCTGCCCTTTCCTTCTACTAACTTCTCATCCTGTCCATTCTGGTCACTGCAGTCAAAATGTTAGAATCTTCATCTGTCCAGTTATTGGATTACTTAAAAAAACACATGAAATATAAAGAACGTTTGGGTCGATTTACATCCAACTAACATGGAATTATTTTAAAGTATAATTTTTGACACAGTTAAAAACACAATTTTTTACACTCTGCCTCATCTGCTACACACAGCAAAACGTCTGCTCCTATCTCTCCCTGCTGCTGCTTCAACAGAGGAGGAGGAGGATGCGACGATGGGATGGACGGATGAAAAGGGCGAGGCTCCTCGTCTCTTTGCAGCCCTGACCTCCAGAAGTCCAGCAACCTGAGATCCTCAATGAAATATTTAACGCTGCTGTTTTATCCGCAGTGCGCTGCTGGTAGAAAACACACACACACACACACACACTGAAAACTGCAGGCCTCCATGACGTAATGCCCAAGCCGATCAGCAGCTGTTTTATTGGTCAGGCGTGGTCAGGTGACCCGTGCCACTGAGGCCTTTTAAGGCATTACGATGCCCTCAGGCTCCACATTAGGCTCATGGACTGTCTGCAGCAAGTTATGATAAATCACTGCTGGCTGTGGTGTTTTCCACAGTGAAGCTCTCAGCAGCTAATCTGCCACATGTCTATATTCCTTAATGAAGCTCCTGCAGTGGCTCAGCTTCTGCTTCTCCATGTCTTTAGTCTGACCATGTTCACCTTGGGTTAAAAAAACACACACAGCTTTCAATGTGATTCCAGAAAGATGATAGAGGCTAAATATGGTTTCTCTAAATGAGCGAATAACGGATGCTTTTTCTGTTTTTTTGTTACTGCTAATGAGACTGAAACCCGATGTGGCTGCACCATGGCTGACATGCATGTTGTGTGTTGGGTTTCTCAGGCTGGGGTTGGGTGGCAGGCACAGGTCCTCTCTCGGGTTACAAGCTCTGTTTCAGTGGCACAGTGGGGGGTGGATGAGGAAAAAGAGGAGGAGGAGGAGGAGGGGGAGGGGGAGGAGGAGACGCAGCAGCAACAGCAGTACAATGATCCCTGGGACTTTACTAATGGATGATCCACTGATTAACACCACTCACACACCCACCAAACCATCCACCTCTGGGCCATAACAAAGGCCCAAAGCTGTGGCAGAGACTGGAAAAAAAATTGTCTTAGTTTTTATAGTTTGACTGTTTTTAGTGGAGGTTTTTTAGTTACAGAGTTGAAGGTATTTAAAAAGGAAGTACCAAATATTTCTTTAATGTGGTTAAACTGTAGTGTTTATTGATGTGTTTGTGGTTAAACTGTAGTGTTTATTGATGATTTTTATTGTAAAAATAATAATAATACTAAACATTATTTCCTTCAAGAAAGTGCAGTTCAAATTCATATTGTTGCCAATTTATTTTGTATTTACATTTTTCTTATCCAATATTTTCAGATTCTATCTATTGTTTCTATATTTATATATTTAGCTAATTACTCTTCTAACCTAATTACTTCTTCTCATCTTTTACAGTTATGTCAAAGCAAACTCCTAAAAAAATTTCTATTCAGGTTTTTTTTTTAATTAAGCTTTTGTAGCAGCATCTCTTTAAGCTTTTTAGTTTAGTTTTTGAATATTTTTCATATTTATGGTCCATTATTCTTTACTGAGTCTCTCAAGCTCCTCCAGGTTTGAGGACCTTCTGATATGGACCCAAATATCATCATCAAGACCACA